GGTTTTGAGTAATGAACAAGGCTGGGAGTTTTTAAAAGCCTCAGGAATCTTTTGCAGGTGTTTAGAGTTACGTCGTTGATTCAGATGGTTAGGTTAATAGCTTGTTTAGATAAACTTTTCATGATATGCTAATTTTTTGGGACAGGCATTTTGGGTTCTCATGAGCTGTATGCCATAATCATCAGTATTAAAACAATTAAAGACCTGAAATATTTCAGTTGGTGTGCAATGAATCTGAAATATATGAAAGTTTCATTTTTATCATTACATTATGGAAAATAATGACCTTTTTCACAATATGCAATTTTTTTTAGAAGGACCTGTACAGTACAGAAAATTAAATATACAAGGTTTAAGACATCCAAGGATACCTTTTAGGCTATACCTTAAACATCATGGGGCGGCTGTGGCTGAGCGGTTAGAGAAGTCCTCCAAATCGAGAGTTGGGGGTTCGAATCCACCAGCAGTCACATGCTGAAGTGTCCCTGGGCAAGACACTGAACCCCTCATTGCCTCTGATGTGTGTCTCATCAGTGCATGAATGTGATAAAGCTCTGATTAGTCTCATTAGAAGGATTTGTTCAATTAGCTTTGTAGAGATCTAGTAGAGTGCTGTATGAATGGGTAAATGAGGCACAGATTGTAGTGTAAAGCGCTTTGAGTATCTCAAAATAAGATAGAAAGGCGCTATAAGTACAGTCCATTTACATCTTTAATAAATGCCTAAATCAGGAAGCACGTTTACCAGAGGACATGCAGCTCACACGATGCTTGTTCAGCCTGTTCTAAAGCACATTTCTTGGAGAAATGCATATTTGGTTTAAAAATTAAACTGTAGATTCAGCTCTTCTCTTGATTATATGTTGGACAGCGGGGGTCGCCAAGAGTCCAAGGAGCAGACAGACGTGAACGGCACATAATATAGTTTACCACATACTTTTTTTTTTATCTAAAACATTTTTTTCTAGACATGATACAACAAAAGCCCAATATTGTTTTTGAATAGGGCTTTTCTTTAAGCAAAGCTTGCATATAAAAAAAAAAAATCCAAATTAAATTTTAATTTTTTTTTTTATATATATATAAAAAGTGTGGTTTCTATTAGCGTGGAATGAATAGCCTGTGAGTAAACTTGTTGAGTTTTAAGTGCATTTAGTGGTTTTTTTTTCTGGTTGTTGATTTTTACATCTCTCCTCCTCATGCGCACACACCTCCCACCTGCGCGCCTCCCTCTCTCCGTCCCCGCTGCGCTCGCGAACACTTTCCTTTCAGCCAAGATGGCGGCAGCCTCGTCCATCCGGCCGCCGAGCGTTCACTCCTCCCTCACCCGGCACAGAGCACTCTTCCCGGTGATGGACAGCCTCGAGAGCCGGCAGCCGGAGTACGAAGAGGCGGCGAGGAGAGCGCAGCCCTCCGAGCCGGGGATAAGTCTCCGAGACCTGCCGGACCTGGAGCGGGTGGAGGTGGAGCGGAGGCTGGCCAAAAGTCGGCTGGAGCTGAGCAACAGGAGGAAGATCCTGATGAAGAACCTGCCGCCGGACACCACCAACCAGGTACACCACCAAGTGAAGGAAAAGTAAACACAGCCAAGTTTGTTCGTTGCCTTTGAAACATTTTTAAATAGCAAAAAGTCGTGTTTATAGTTCGCGGCAGCTGTCGCTCATTTAGTTTAATTAGTCAAAAAACTTGGTGACGTCATGACCAATTAACCTCAGCTTGCTTCCTAAAGGTTCAGACTTTCTGAACATTAGCCAGTTGGTTTGATTTACTTATCCTCAAATACTCGTGTGATACAGCTGTTTCCATTTAATGCATCTTTATTTTGAACTGATGAGTATCTGCTTCTTTTTGTGTGTTTTCATTGTAGAAAAAGGAGGCATGACAAGACGTCATAAGTACTTTCTAGCAACAAGAATAGATGTAACCCATATTGCACCTGCTGATATTATGCATGTGTATTATTTTTCCATCCTTTGATATTTCCTGCATGCATTTTAATGCACAGCATGCTCTAACACAATCAATGCTGTAATCAGATCAGCTCTTTACCATTTAGTTTAAATTTCCCACCCACAGCTCTAGAGGCACATGAAGAATCTGAGCATGTAAAAAAATAAAAATAAAGAGCTTCAGCTCCTGCAGACATGACAGGTGGAACACACAATTCTGGACTTTTCATGCTTTAAGTAAACCATGATGCTTTAATAGAAGCCAAAGCAAATTATCAACCGATGCAAAAGGCCATAGATGCTGAGAGACTTTTGCCACTAAACAGATTTTAAAGAACTTTAAGGAAGTGATGAACAACTGATTAACTTGTGGAGTTAATTTAATTTAAGATGGCCATCACAGCTAAACTCAACATTTTAAAACTAAGTTTGGAAATTTTTTAGCTAAAATTTGACTTGGTAGTAGTTGAGTCATCCTAAACATACACTCTGAGCATCACATCTAATGACTTAAACTTCTTTGTCACATCTCAACATAAGACAATCATTGTCTAAAACTCTGGCGTAAAATGTGGTATTTCTTGAAGAAATGCAAGAACTGCATGCAAGGGCTTAAACATTAATGTTTCCTGTCAAATACCATAGAGCGACTTCACTGTTTTTAACTTTATGATTCCACCACTAAGTGTTTTTCATCACTTGTGTGAGCATGCACGCCTTTAGGAGGCAGCGTGTCGAGCCTGCGCTCATGGTGTCTTCCTTCAGGCTCGTAGCACCAGACATTCCTAAAGAGGGTTGCAGCTGTAAGAGCCAGTGCTCTGCCCAAGTGTTTATGTGCACGTGGGGAGGGAGGTAGTGAGAACGAGCGTGACGGCATGTTGTGTATGAGAAATGACAAGCAGAGGGGTAGAGGAGAAGGAAAAAGTCAAAGAAGTCATCAGACGAAGCAACGGAACAGGATTTTCTCTGTTTCTCAGAGCAGCATAAAACTATCAATTTAAAGGAATCCATGTGACTTTGTGACGGTTCTCTGTGTGAAGTTTAAGTCATTGTTCAACTGACAGATCTTGTTTCCCAACAATCTCAAAGGTTGTCAGATAGAAATGGTTTCAAGAAAAACTTTTCCAACTCCCCAAATATTGGCTACATCAGCATGATGTTTGAATGTGTTGCTCGTCACATTTTATCGTCTTCCACACAGCTGTAGACTTGTGGCAGAGGAAAGCTGTTATGTTCTATGAAACCCGTCTGCCTACTCTTGAACAGCCAGCCGACTCGTTCCCCTCATACCCGCTGCCCCATTAGCGAACACTGAGCTGCAGTCTGGATAAGTGCGAGTGCACGGTGCACTGTGTCAGATATATGGTCTGCTGACGGTCTTCGTCTCAGGGAGAGGTGGGGGGATGGGAACGGAGGAGGAAGAGTAAAGAGGGGATGGAAAAACTGGTTGATGGCGAAGTAGAAAGGGAAGAACGTTTATGGAAGAGCAACATGAGGGAATAAAGACGTGACAACAACAGATCGTTAAACGATCAAGGAGCTACAGTAGATATTTTCCACTGACAATCAGAGCTTTGCTTATTTTCTTTCTGTTCAGAATGACGACTCCAGGAACTTGCTCTGTGTTTTAGTTCAGATACCGTATTTTCCGGCCTATAAGTCACAGCTTTTTGCATAATGTGCATGCCCTGCGACTCATACTCCAAAGTGACTTGTTTATGTTTTTTCCTATATTTATAAACCAATTTTTAGCTGAGATGTGACCGTTTTCTTTCATTCTGACCTTGAAAATATTGAACCCTACCATTTTTAGCCGCTACATGGCACTTGAGAAGTATGGCATGCCGTTGTGCCATGTAATAGGTAAAAGTGACTATTAATGACACAATCAGCTTGCCTTAGTAAGCCACCTTCGTCCTGCTCCGGGATCATGCCTAGAGCAACTGTCAAATCAGCTTCATTTTGCTGCGCTGCCCCGGCGAAATGCAGCTAATTTGACCATTGAAGTGCATTTATTAAGTAAAAGATCAACTGAGACGCACCTTTGCTTTAATGTTGAGCAAACAAATTATTGTTTTAGGTGCTTATGTTGTTAAATTTTGAAGAAATGTGCAGCGTTTCTCCTCCCTGATTTCCTCCCTCTGGGCGCTCCCGGAGCACCGAGGCTGTGAATACTTTTGAAATACAGCTGATTTGATTGTTAAAGTCCTTTTATTAAATAAAAGTTCAACTGAGACACACCTTTGTTATGAAGGTGAGCAAACAAAGAATTGCTTTTAGGTGGTTATCTTGTTAAATTTTGAAGAAATGTACAGCGTGTCACCCCTCTGCTTCCGCCTATTGACTTTTGAAATGCAGCTGATTTGACCGTCGGAGTGTATTTATTAAGTAAAAGTTAGACTGAGATACACCTTTACCATAATTTTGAGCAAACAAATAATTGTTTTTAAGTGTTAATCTTGTTTAATTTTTGTTAGTCCTGCCGTGCACTCTCCCGCGGCCGCCATTTGGCAGCCAACTGATTTTTGGCACAACACCGACCCACATTTCTGGGTTGTCAGCAGTGACTCGTAACAAACGTGATGCGTTTACGGTGACACATAATAGATGCAACTTATACGGCGAAGCGATGTATAAGGTGCTGCGATGTGTACAGCGGAAAATATGGTATTTTTGATGGTTGGGAGTGTGATGCTGATTTGGAAACAAGAATATGTTATGCGTTTAATCACAGATAAACTAAATAAAATGCGCAAAAACATTATCGCCGTTTCACTTTTGGCAATGGGTGATTAAAAACGGAGGCCTGTAATTTGCATGTTTGTTGGAGAATTGTGGAAATTTGGTGTCATGCACAAAAATGAGGACATGTTGAGGCTTCACAACCAAAGAGGTGCTGATGGTCTCTCTGAGAACCTTCATTCTGTCTGAGTCAAGTCACATTTTGATGAACTATTTAATTTAATACTGGAAGCAAAGGTTTCCTGGTTTAATTAATAAAGCTTTAATTATTAATGTCATATTCACAGTTCATTCAGGCTTTACACAGTGGGGTTACAAAGTGTTTTTTTATTTTTTTCTTGTGCTCTTTGATGAAGGAAGACGCCAACCTGAATTAACCACGTGCACCTGAAAGCAGCTTTCGTTTATCTGGGATATTTGCAGCAGTTGGATACTTTAATCTGGAAAAACCTCAATATGTGCATCACAGTGCTCTTTGCAGGAATATTGTCAAATATTGTCAAACTCCAGCTCCAGATGAAACCTGTTGTCCAGTGCTAGGTGAGAGTAACAACTAATTTATGGATTACTGTCTTGTTTGAGGTTTGTTTGATCTATGTTAGAGTTGCATCCGGGCCCAAAAAAATCCGACCCAGCCCCAACCCGTAGCCAGCATTTCTGAACCCCACCTGACCCGACAAATTAACAGTAATTACAGGTTCGCCCCCCAAAACATTTTTAATTAAGCTTTGACTGCTTATTGTTATTAATGGTCGGGGGACGCGCAGACCGTGGTAAAGTTAGTTTTACATTGGACATTCGAGCTCCGTGGCTTCAGCGGTGTGTTCCTCTCATTCGAGTTCGGCTGACCAAAATCAGACTGCCTGCATCGGATCGAACGAGACAAACACACCGCTGAAGCCATGGAGACCCTGTTTCTGCCTGCATTCTGATTTATTCAGACATGGACCACTCTGACACGTCTGCTTTGTAATCTCACCTGTTTGGGTCGTCGGCCGCACGTGTCCGCTGAGTGCATTGGCTGAATGAACGTCCATTTGGACGATGGATCGCTGCCTGGCAGTATAGTCCCATCTGAAGCTTAACTGAACTTTTTACCTCTTTCAAGGCCGGGTAGCTCACGGTGAAATGGCCGCATGCGGCTGGTGAAGGTATGGCAAGCCATGTTGCCATATAATTGGATTTATGGCAAGCCATGGTGCCATATAATTTGATTGTGGCTTATCCACTGTCGCAATCAAAAGCCCAACACCGACCCGGCCGACCCATCCAGCACATTATCACACCCAGCCTGAATTCGGGTCGGTTCGGGCCGGGCTTCGGGCCCGGGTTAGAAATGACAGCTCTAATCTATATCATCTTCTGTACTTTGGGTGGGGCTATGTTAATTTATTTTATTCATCACGATGCAGCTATGAATGATTCTAAATCAGTTTATAAACAAACAAAAAAAATTTTGATAATCATTTTATGTTGGTAACATCCTGACATTATTAAGGGGTTAATAACATCAGTTTTTAATAACAGTGGTTACCCTGCATAGAGGTGGGCACCAGCTCCCCATGATCCCTATAAAAAAGTAGGTAAAGAAAATGGAAGAATGCAGAAAATTAATGGATCAATGAGTCCACATTAGATAATGATTTGCTTCCAAAAATATTTTTTTCCAAGTTCTTGAATTCGCTTTTTAGATACATTTAAACCCTATGAAACAGTGTGTACATGCTTGAATGTTCCCTCTGGACACCAGGGGTGTGTGAGTGTGTCCAGGTGTTTGAATATGTACAAGTAAACACAAGTGCATGCAAATATGACAAACGGCATGTCCCTGAGTCATCCTTCTGTCACTTTACATGCTGAGA